GATTGATGACAAACCTTGTTCTGGACATCTGTCAACTTCCTGAATGGACAAAAATGTTGACAAAATTCATGCATTTGTACCCAAAGACCAATGATAGACCACTGAAGAGATGGGGGACTTATCTGGACCGTCATGGAACTTGGGTCAGCGAATTTTAGCGGAAGATTTGGGAATGAGAAGCGTTGCTGTGAAATTTGTGCTTCCAGTTCTGACTGACCAGGAAAAGGAGCATCCAGTGGAAACATGCTATGCTTTGAAAGAACAGCTCCGAAGCAACCCAGACTTTTTTCCAAGGTCATTCATTACTGGTGAGCAAAGGTACCCACACTTTTTTTTCCCCAAGCTCATTACTAGTGAGGAGACATGGTGCTATTCTTATGACCCTGAAAGCAAGCATCAGTCAAGCCAGTGGAAGACGCCATCGTCACCTCTCTCCCAAAAAAACCCTGGCCAAGTGAAATCAAAGGTCAAGAAGATGCTCATTTGTTTCTCTGATGTGAGGGGAATAGTGCATTTTGGATTTGTTCCACTAGGTCAGCTTTCGATTTAGAGGTTCTGAAAAGGTTGCATAACAGTGATTACAAGGCCTGATTTGTGGCAGACGGGGATGGGTTTTGCCATCAAGACAACGCACCTGCTCGTGCAGCCATCTCAGCGCGTCTGCTTTTGGCAAAAAACAGCAGGCCTCTCTTGCCTCACGTACCTCACTCACCTGACCTCACTCCTTGTGACTTCTTTTTGTTTCTGAGAATGGAGAGACAGGACAGGACAGAAGAGGTGAAGAGAAAAACACGGGGGAGGTGCTGTCAGCCATCCTAACAGATGAGTTTGAAAACTGTTTCCAAGAATGGAATCGTAAATTTGACAAATTATTAAGTGTAATGGATAGTACTTTGAAGGTGATTAGGTTGTTTTGTAAAAAATGTAAATACCAAGCTTTGGGGGAGGGGGAGATTTCTGGGGCATTTTGGGCCCCCCCTTGTATGTGCAGGAAAAAGAGCTGGGAGATCACACAGCAGAAGCTCACAGGGTTTGTCTTGCGTGTCTGTGCTGCGTGGGAGGACTTAGAGAGACCTTTTACTCCCCACAGGAGCCCCAGTATGTTATGGACATAGTGTGGCATAGTGTGTTTTGAAATGGGCTGCTAGCCACAAGGTCAGCAGTTCAAATCCACCAGTTGCTCTGCAAGAGAATGATGAAACTGCCTCTAAAGACGTACTATCTTTAGAAATCCACAGGGCTTCCCTGCCTTACAGGGTCACTATGGGTCACAATCGACTTGCTGGAATGAGTGTTGAGTGTCTACTACCTAGGTTATTTATTCTGAAATGATTTGGGGGGAAAATTGTTAAGCAATCATACAGCATTGTTGAAGGAAAAATACATAAGTAAAAGGGGAAACAATGGGTGACAATCTTGTATCAGATTCCAGTGTCTAAGAAATAAATACTATTAAAATATGACTCCGTTCAACTCAAGAAGTGTTTTTCATCACCTTTATTGAAATTGATTACTGGGTGGGGCATAACAAGTCAGTAGGAACATACCTCCATTTCTTTATATTGATTGACAGAGATGGGAATTCTGGTTTTACCTTCATCTAGTTTACTTCCAACATTGTATGCATTTCCCTACTGCTTCCTTAAAAAAAGCAAAATCCCAAATAGGATGAAAGCAATTCTTATGTCTCCATCACTTTATGTTCTACAGTAAATACTTTCTGGTCTGCTAAACTGTACCACCGGTAGCAGTTTCCCTACTTGGTGGTGCTTGATGGTGCTGAGTGATGTGGTTTCTGCTCAAACAGTATCTTGATTAGGCTCTCTGGACTATATATTCATTCGGTTCTCTGGACTATCCATTCATT